CGAACAATGGCTGAAGTCGACCCACTTAGTTGCATATTTTCAACTTGGCTTTTCAACTGAGCCATCTCATCTTTTAAGATCTGAACATTCTGATCAGTCTGGTCTATTCTCTTCGAGCATCTTTCCTGGACTTGTTGCAACTCAATCTTTAATTCTGCAGAATTTTGTTCTAATTTCTGCGTGATTTCATTAGACTTTTGTTCCAGCTTTTCTTCCAACTTACGTGAACTGTGCGCCTGTTCTTCTGAATTTTTCTCCAGCTTCTGCATCATTAAGTTCATGATTGCCATAATTTCACTATTCTTATCAGGTTTTTCATCGAAGAATTCGTGTTCTTCTACATTTATGCTATTAGCCTCCAACGCCTCACGAAGTCTCAATTGTAATTCTGTTTTCGCACCACCTGTGCCAAGTCCCAATTTCTCCAACTGTTTTTTTAGTTGAACCACAGTTAATTCTTCCAATTTCGCCATTTTTACAAAATCCCACTTCTGACACCAAATGTTACGTAATCGCCTGCGTGATTATTCGTATCTCAGGATTTTGTGAAAAATGAAACGAATTATTAGGATTGAAGAAACTTACTTATATATTTTGTGAAATACAAAGAACTAGTATTTATTAGGAGTCAATTTAATAAAAATACAGCTTCACACCAAACAAATTTCCAAACTAACTTCTTATAAAAAAATATCAATTGAAGTAATGTTTAAATAATATTTAAACATTTCATAGCTACTCTGATGAAATTCGTAACAATATCTATTTGGATTTTTTTTAAAATTTTTTTTATTAAATCATTAGTTTTTTTTATTTCAACTTTTGAATTTTTTTGATTAAGCTACAAAATAATCATTTTTATTTGAATTTTAAAATTTATTTTAAATCATTAGTTTTCTTTATTTTTCTATTGTTTTTTTTTAAATTTGATTAATACTAAAGATTTTTGAGCATAAATACAGAATAATTGACAAGTAGCAATAATGATGTTATTTTTCCATTTTTCCATTTTTCCAATAGTCAAACGAAGTAGAGTTTTCTTTGAGCACATCCATAAATTCTCCTTATTTTTCCTTATTAAGTACTTACTTACTTACTTAGTTGGCTATTACAGACGTGTGTCGTCCTTGGCCGCGTCGAGTAGCCTCCGCCTGTCAGCCCGATTAGTTGCTTTCTGACGCCAGTTGGTAGTACCGAGCGCCCCCAAATCGTTGGTCACCTGGTCCTTCCACCGAAAATGCGGACGTCCTCTACCGCGTTTTCCACCTGCGGGTACCGAATCAAATACCTTTCTAGCCGGAGCACTTTCTTCCATTCGCACGACATGACCAAGCCAGCGTAGCCGCTGAATTTTTATGCGCTTAACTATGTCAATGTCGCGGTATAGTTCATACAGCTCATCGTTCCATCTAATTCGATACTCGTCGCCAACGCGTAAGGGACCATAGATCTTCCGAAGAATTATTGGTAATTGTCCAAGCTTCTGCACCATACAGCAGGACAGGCATGAAAAGGGTTTTGTAGAGCGTGATTTTTGTTTGTCGAGAGAGGGCTTTATTTCTCAATTGCTTACTTAGCCCGAAGTAACATTTGTTGGCAAGAGTAATTTTTCGTTGAATCTCTAGGCTGACGTCATTTTTGGTGTTTAAGCTGGTTCCTAAATAAACAAAGTCTTTCACAACTTCGAACTTATAATTGTCAACAGTGACATAGGTCCCTGTTGACCACATCTTCTATATCGTACCACATCTTCTATATTTTTCGAAATTTATTCCGAAATATCCAGAGTAGAGTAGTTGTCTTGGATGTCCTGATATAGATCTTGTACTGATTGTGTTTTCTTCAAAGCTGTTCTTTTAAAGCGCACAACAATAAGTTTGGTTTGAACACTTCTTTATTTTGAAGTATTCTTTTTGATTACTATGCCTTCGGTTAAATAAATCCTTTACTTAGAACTATTCTTTTGTATTTAATTTAGAATTGTATCGACTAAAGTAAACGTAACATACTACAGCCGGTCATAAGGATATAATTTCTGATCGTACACCTTCAGTTGAATATATCCTTATATGCAAATATTCTTTTGTATTTTAATTAAGAGTATTTCACTTGCAATAAGCGTACTACAGCCGATCGCAGTGCTATAATTTTAAATGCAAGCTATATCTTTGCATGAATATATTCTGAAGTGGATATATTCTTTTGTTTTTTAAATAAAAATTATTTCACTTACAGTAGGCGTACTATAGTCGATTGCAGTGCTTATAATTTGAAATAAAAGCTTTTTCTTCAGGTGAATATATCCTGATATGGATACATACCTTTCTTTAATTTATTTCATTGTAATATGTAATGTTTGTACCAAAAGTGTTGTGTCCAATGTATATTTATGTAGGCGGAAATTTAATGTAAATTTAATGTAAATTTCCGTCCTTACATTTCCCTCCTTCTTCGGGAAAGTGAACTGGATCTGAGCCACTACCTGGGTCTCCGATGTGATGATCGTCATCCTTCTGTTGAAGCATACTTGGATATTTTATGTGTTATGGTTGGGGTTCGATACTCGTCGCCAACGCGTAAGGGACCATAGATCTTCCGAAGAATTGTTGGTAATTGTCCAAGCTTCTGCACCATACAGCAGGACAGGCATGAAAAGGGTTTTGTAGAGCGTGATTTTTGTTTGTCGAGAGAGGGCTTTATTTCTCAATTGCTTACTTAGCCCGAAGTAACATTTGTTGGCAAGAGTAATTTTTCGTTGAATCTCTAGGCTGACGTCATTTTTGGTGTTTAAGCTGGTTCCTAAATAAACAAAGTCTTTCACAACTTCGAACTTATAATTGTCAACAGTGACATAGGTCCCTGTTGACCACATCTTCTATATCGTACCACATCTTCTATATTTTCCTAAATTTATTCCGAAATATCCAGAGTAGAGTAGTTGTCTTGGATGTCCTGATATAGATCTTGTACTAATTGTGTTTTCTTCAAAGCTGTTCTTTAAAAGCGCACAATAACCGATCGTATTGAGATAAGTTTGGTTTGAACACTTCTTTATTTTGAAGTATTCTTTTTGATTACTATGCCTTCGGTTAAATAAATCCTTTACTTAGAACTATTCTTTTGTATTTAATTTAGAATTGTATCGACTAAAGTAAACGTAACATACTACAGCCGGTCATAAGGATATAATTCCTGATTGTATACTGTCCAATTTGGACATAATAATGATCAGCCTAAATCTTGTATTTTAAATAATATATTTTAAATTATATATTTCATATTAATAATATTCTATTATTTTTGTTTTGTTGTCAAAGCAAATTTTTATTCTCATAATGTTAATGACTTGATGTCTTAGCCTTGAACGGTGGGTTAAGATATCAAAATTTATCAAAACAACAACAACAGTTGTATATCACACGAGCACACTTTGATCGTCATATGAAACTGCAGATAAGCCATGCATTTAGCATGTGCAATTCTTTAATATAGAACATTATGAGAAATTAAATTTGCTTGTGCAAGGTCAGTATTGTACTTATTAAATAATAATTATGTTTGTAAAGCAAGCTGGTATATGGACTTAGTTCAAGGTTAAAAGAAAATAAGTTTATAAGCATATACCAGGTTGCTAAGGAAATTACGCAAGTAATATTCTTTTTTGTCAATGCATACAATTTCCATGAGAACTGTGACCGTTCCCACAACTATGCTGAGCGATACCTAATCGCTACTTTAATGCAGCTTAAGGTATAGAGCATTATCGTGGGAATTGTATGCATTAACACCTTGCCAAATGTGTATAAAAACTCAACATTTTTCTAATAAATTTATCATTCAATACAGAACAGCCCTTGCGTTTTAATTAGTTCAAGGGCTTATTAAAACTCAATTGCAAATAGGTTCAAGTGCCTAGTTGCTCAAAAATATTGTTATTGTTTGAATCCACCTGAAGTTGGTTTAAGTGCCAAATTCAGACCTTGCAATAGGAACTGGTTCAAGTGCCAGATTCCTAACCATAAGCAACACTGAATCGATTCAAGTGTCGATTCAGATTTCAATAAGAAACGACTTACTGAACATTTTTGGTGACCCCGACGTGATCCACCGTGAATATCACGTTTTCATCAATCCAGTGAACCTGCTCAGAAGGACCACGTTATCATCAATCCAGTGAACCTGCTCAGAAGAGTATTATTGCTGTATTTACAACCATGGAAGTCATGGCAGAATTGATTGCCAAACAATCAGAATTGGGAAAACAAATCCAACAACTGATCACTAACTTCAAAAAGGACTCAAAAGAGAGGAAGACATCCCCTCGCTACTAAGAAGAGCGTATTAGGCGACTCAACGAATTATGGGAACAATTTGATCATAACGACACACAAATCAGGAATTTGCCAGATTTAGATACGAGCGTTTCATATTTTACCAACAACTACTTTCAGGAAATCAAGGGATTATTTGAAAAATATGAGCAGATTTTCGAAAATGAATTGTTAAACAAAATACCTCCAACACCTTCCTCAAAGGAGTCAGCAACGACAGCACGTCAACCGATGCCGTCACCGAGGGAAGGACAATATAGCACGAGTATAACACGAATGACACACAAGCAAGGTGCAATTTGTGTATCACTGAAGCGACTCATAGCAGGCATCAATCGTCAAACAGGCGTTCAGATGAAATCCTTTTATGAAGTGAATATGGGAAGAATTGAGAAGCTATGGAATGAGATTGAATCCATTAATTTTGAAATTTGGGAGTACACCAACAATCCGACTACAGTGGGATATAAACTCGATGAGTATCTCGAAATAGAAGAATTGGTTCAGTCAACTTTAATTTCGTTAGCTTCAATGAAAGCAAATAATGAACAATTACAACAAGGAATCAGTAAACCAGACAGCGCTGGGATATCACTGCCTAAGATAACAATACCAAAATTCGATGGCGATTATTTGAAGTAGTGTCAATTCTACGATTTGTTCACCGAAATGATTCACAAGCAGCAGCTTTCTAATGCTCAGAAAATATGGTATCTCAAAGGTAGTTTAACAGGAGAAGCAGAAGGTTTAGTCCGACACCTGTCAATAACCAACGAGAAGTATCAAACGGCATGGAATTTGCTACAAGAACGATATCACAACAAAAGAATTATTGTAGCAACAATCACTCAAAGAATTCTAAATCAACCAATAATATCAACGAATCCTTCAGCGACAGAAATAAGGACACTCCATGATGCTACTTTTGAAGGATTGCTGGCACTGAAGAATGTGGGACTCGAAACTGATTCATGGTCGCCGTTACTGCTTCATAGTTTGCTCCTCAAACTAGATAAGCAGACTCGCATTTTGTATGAACAGTCGCTGACTCATCCAAGAGAGATTCAGTCGATTAAGGAGTTCATGATTTTCCTGGAATCACGATTCCAGTCCTTAGAGGCGATTGGTCATAGGGAGAAGCCATGCTCAGCAAAAACCCTTGCCACAACGATGGGAAAGGCAAATATATCAACCTGTAAGATCTGTAATAATGGATCACATCCGATATATTATTGCAAAACATTCTTGCAATCAACACCACAAGGTCGTATCAAGACAGTACAAAAACTTAGACTGTGCTTGAACTGCTTACGTACAGGCCATAGGGCAGCAGAATGCAAAAGTTCCCGATGCAACAAGTGCAGCAAGAACCACAATTCGTTGTTGCACTTATCAGAGTCTTCCAAGACAACATACAAATCGATCAATGTCAAATCAGATTCATTGGTTGAGAAACCCGGTCATCAACCTTCTACTGTAATCACAGCATTAACACAAAATAAGGGATACGTTCTTCTTAGTACAGTTAATATGAAAATAGCTACGTTTGATGGTGATTTCATTGAGTGCAGAGCAATACTCGATTCTGGATCACAAATAAACTTAATCACAGAAAAACTGGCAAGAAAATTAAAATTGCAGTTACACTCATCACCGTTATGGATAGAAGGAATTGGTAGAAGCAAAAGGGACACAAAATACAGTGTGACAACGAAAATTCAGTCTCGAATTAATGATTTCAATGTAAATATCAACGCATTCGTGATGCCTCGAATTATCTCAGCCCAACCAACACAGTGTCTGGACACTTCTGGTTGGTCAATTCCTCAAAATATAAAATTGGCTCATCCAGACTTCGCGAATCCAAATCAAATTGACTTATTAATTGGAGCAGAGTTCTATCACAGCTTTTTATCGATTGGTCAAATCAAAATAGGTGAGGGTCTACCTGCACTTCAGAACACGGTTTTCGGATGGATATGCAGTGGCAAAGTTAGCAACGGTAATCAAAAATTACTTACCTGTGGCATGTGCAGCGAAGCTGACGACGAAGCATTGGATAATATACTTACTAAATTCTGGCAATTGGAGGAAATCAATCAAACGGATGACAAATTCACTGATGCAGAAAAGAAATGTGAAGAATCTTTTGCTCAAAATACTCACCATAATCATGAAGGGCGATTTGTCGTGAAATTACCATTTAAGGAGGATTTTTTTTTTTTTTTTTTTTTTTTTTTC